TAACCATAGTCCAGCTCCAACACTTGGACGAGATCCCAAGGGTATGGTAAGTCCTTCGCTCTGCATGTAGTTGATGATCTTGTCTGCCTTGCATCCGGCGCCAACCACCACCAATGAACTGGAGTCATTACCTAACCCTTCTTCTCTATCTTCTCTAGCGAGAACACTTACGCAGTCGAATGCACTCATGTCAATGGCTACAACGTTGGACCTGAGACAGTGCGCGCTGTGCCCTCCACCGACGATGGTCAAACCCAGTCCATGCTCCAGTGCCCACCAGACGCAAGTCTGCACGTCGTTGACGTATGCCGGTCTCACAATGGTAGCCGAGCGCTGCGAACGAGCTTCTTTATTCTTGATTGTCTTGTGCTCTAGTACCGGAAGTACATCTATTGTTAGCTCCGGTACTGTGTTTGCGTGCTGATTGAAAGCCACCATAACCTCAGGCGCACTGAACAGGAGGATGTTCGGATAAGCATCTTCGCGACGGGCTAGAGCACGGCATAGCTTTCGCCATATCGCTTGAACAGCTTTGTTTTGGTCGACATCGTGTATGGTGAAACCAGCAACGAAGGACGCGAAGCAGTCCAACGCATGGTCATTGTCTTGTACCCCGATCACTCCAGTGGGGTAAGAAGCCGAATGATGGCATGCCAAGCCATCGATGTGTAAACCCTCCTCACGGTGGAAAACTGCAACAATTCCACCGTCAACGAGCATTTTGATGGCTTGCTCGATGAACTTGTGCTGCGGCTTCATACCATACATGCTATGGCAAAATAAGATAATATCGTACTTCTCGACACTGCTACCTTCAATGGCAGCATCGTTATCGACATTGAAAGGAGCCTGATGGATAATAATATCACCCTTGTGGCCTGCAAACGGCGAACCCAAGTTCTTACCCATCTCTTCATTTCCTTTCAACCATTCTTCTAGCTTCCCAGCGAACAGAGCATTCGGCTCGAAAGCAGTGTATCGTCGGATTCTGGCTCGTAGGCTCTCTGGCAGGTCACCAAGCACACTCTTTGGTCCCGGTCCAATCTCCAACACTGATATAGATGCGTTCGACTTTTCGAGAGGAGCGAGCAGGTACAATAACTCGGGGATGATGAAGTCGCAGTAGCTTGACCAGCTAGGGCCTTCTGTAAAAGCGGAGAAACCAGCAGCATACTGGGCGTCGGTTAGGGGAATTCTGCCAGGAGACAGAATTGCGGTGTCTGTTGTGGCGGCTTGCACTAGGGTGTGCTTTAAGTTGGCAAGCGTGGCCATGTTGGGTCGACCTTGTGAGGGGTACACGTGTGCGATGAGTAGATCCGGAATGGAAGGACTGATACGATGAGGAAGATGACACAAGAGTCCTATAGTATCGTTTGGAGAACAGGTGGGCTCTGCAGAGGTGGGGTGTTTGCCTTGATTGTGAATGCATAGGCCACGCGCATGTCTGCGCCGCTTGACTGCAGATATACGCGCATCACGGCTATGTAAGAGCCGTGATACGCGTCTGCAATATGCGCTCGTAGCCATAGGATTCCCTCCCCTTCTGTCTTGCGATGGCTGGTTTGGCTGTCCTTGGGTACCGTGCTTGAGTAGATTATGTATACTGATAAGTATGGAACTCTCGTACACAATAGACTGAGACTGGGTGCCTTGTCCATTGAGGGTTTCAACCATGCCATCTTTCACATTTTGCTCTAAAGAGTAATCCGAATCGCCGGCACTGTCTGTCAGGCTTTGCGACCTTACCTAAGTGGGAAGGGCGTACATATCCCATATGTCGTGTAACCAGGTCGCATCATCAACATCCTGCAAACATGGTACGACTCTTTTCTTTCGACCGCGCAGTGACTGCATTCTTCCTCGACTAGCATTGTATGTCATTAATTGCCTCAGCGATGCTAATAAACCATGCCATTGCCTTTTGTCAACTTCCTTACAATCTATGGATGTGCTGTTGTTTTGCTGCCGCTGCAAAACCTATAAACTATTCATGGAAATATTGTGTCCACTAGTCATAGAAGTAGATATTCAACTCGGGAGCCTCTGTTTCTGTTGCGAAACACTCTTTGAGCACTTCAAGCAGGGTATTCGCTGTGTTATTGGTGAACTTGAAGAATCTCAGTCGTAAACATTGATCATTAGACTAGAATACGAAGATGTTCAGTCGATCTCGACTAGAAGCAGATATACATGAGAGATACATTGATGTCCCACAGGAAGTAGCTACAGACATCCCACAAGCTTTGTAGGTGCGTGGTGGTGTTTTGGGGGGCGAAATCTTGCACTCGATCGACGCAAATCATGAACGTTCGAACGTCAGCCATCACAGCAAAGAAAGGTCTCTGGGCCTCAGGCCCAAGCAGCCCATGGGCGCAGGAATTAACAAAAAAGGAGGGATGCGCTCTTACGAACGCCGATGAATGACTCATCGGAGGTTTGAACTCCGGACCTTCAGTGTACTAAGGAGTGCTGTGAAGCGCTCTGTTAGACTGACGTGATAACCAACTACACCAACGAGCCCTGTTTGATGGAAGAGGTTGGATTTGGTTCGAAAATATTCATACCAAAATTAAACTAATGATAACAGCCTACTCAAGAGTAGGAATCTGACTTCATGCTCGTGCAATTGGCAAAGTCGTGGTCGGCAAAATCTCTGCTCGGTGCGGGGCGTGGGAGCTGAGCCGATCAACGTGGTTGGCCGAGATGTCGGTCCCACCAATGACTACCCACACCAGGGTATAGTGACGAAAGGCCTAGCCGTGGTAGGATAGCCCAACATACAGTGATGTTGTCAATCAAGGACGTTGTAGACAGAATGAGATAAACCCCGATATGGCCTATCGTGAGACCAACGTAGAAGTATGGTGTGACGATGTATGAGCGCAAGCTTTCAAAATTGCGTCGAACGCAAATTCTTGACCACGCGCTCGCTTCTAGTTCAGGCTCGACAAGAGCTAGTCTGTTGGGGTGCGTGCTGATGACATGAGAGTACAGGCGTGTGCACCTGTGGTGCGTAGTCGGAGAGTTCACAGCGACAGTAGCTGCCGCGCCAAAAACTCGACCTTCGTCTCAGGACTCCCAAAGCTTGACCCGCTGATACCAAGCCTAGCGACAGCTTGGAAACGGGTAGCCTGATTGCTAGCCAGACTGCTAGGTGGCCGATCTGCATCGCCAACGCGCGTGGAAAGCTACCGCCCACATGGTGTAACGGCCTTGGTACAGCTGGGCGACCAACGGCTTTTCTTGTGCGCGTACTGCGTGAGCGAGGTCGTCATTAGATGCGCCGGTGTAGCGCCCATGAACGGGTAGAAGATCGAAATGCAACTTGACTCATTGTGGACGCGATCGTGGGCATAGAGTTATCGTCTTGAGGGGCTGTGGGCGTTGGAGCTACGAACGCGTCGCGTGCCTAAGAAAAGAGCGGAGCGGAGCCAAAACCACCGACCAGCAGAAACCTTCTGGCACCCCTGTGTCTTTCTACCTACTCGCCAATCCCTCACGGTGAACGATGAACTCCCTCTTTCGTACTGCGCAGAAGGTCAAGCTGCGCATACCATTGCATCAACGACCAATCTACTCACATCGATGCATCGAGGTTGCGGGGTGAGCACAATCCCGCCCAAGCAAGCACGCGTCAGCTGCACACGCGCATCGTTCATCACATTACGACAAGCACCACTCCAAGGCTCATGCTGTGCTTCCTGCGCGCGTCTGGAGAAGACAAGAATCCATCAAAATCCCCGTAGCCAAGACCTCCATGTGTCGCACCTCGGTAGGAGTTCCAGCCACGGGGTAGCGCGCTTCACCAATCTGGAAAAGTAGCCTAAAAACAGACCACGTCTCAAACCTCACATCGCATCTTTCGAGCCGTGACCCCGGTTCTTTACTCCGCTGAACTATTTACCGCTCCACTTGTTCAAGACGCCAAGTGTTACCATCAAGGCTTACCCCCTTCGAAGCTCATGGCCGAGGCCTGTCAGTCTGGCCCCTTTGCCCCAGACGAACGCTGTGGAGGAGGGCCGCCAAAGGGTCGCATCTTACGCCCGCGTGCCTGAGAATCCGGCGATCGATGCTCATCTAGGTAGACGATCCCTTGAACCGACCTCTTGTCACCTCCTGTATAATATCGATACTTGGCAGGCGTGCCTAACGGGAATGCTACGGGCTTGGTGTCCTAAGCATTACCCAGTCCCCTTCTACAGCTGTCAGGAGGCTTTAGATTTGAGCTTGGCTATGTTCCAAGAGCCAGAAGATCGAGATATGGCTTACGGTATGCGTCAGCGCAAGGAAGAGTGTCATCGGAGATCCGTATCGGCCATGATGTGATATGTGCATCTTTCACCCAAAATGGAAGTCCACCCTCCATGCCCCAGGCAGATCTCTTTCTCAACGCGCAAGCAGATCAAATTTTTTACCAGGCAGCAGAATAGCCTGGGCAGGAACTCCTCTGGGGCCAGCTGCAGGTCTCGACTAATAACAAGCTTCGTAACGCTCGAGACCGCGGTCACCGATCCACTTGCAGCACCAGAACCATGCATTAGCCCCGGCAACTAGCATTGCTCTCCAGGCTTATTCGACCTTGGCTCCGCATCACAAAAGTTTCGAGCCAATGTCAAACAGCGGGAGAAGCTTGGCACATACTTCCAAAGGCAAAGCGTTGCCATGCTATGCTTGCCGCCACTTGGCGCGGCTTCAGGAAAGTTTCACACCTATGCCGATATGGCTAACTCATCTTGGCGGACAACCACGATGAACCCGCAATATCGTGACTATCGAGACACAACAGGTTGCGTATAAGAGGACAGTAAACCCACTTCTTCTATCCTGCAGTCCGGTCACTCACTTCAATTCACTACCCAACCATCTTTCAATCTCCGTCGCCGGGCGACTTCTATCACTTAGTACATTTATTGAATCATCTAATCATTCATCAAACCCCAATCCTTCACTACTACCCATATCACTTAATCGAAAGATATCAACAAAACTAAACCGACAACATGCTTCCTCAACACGTCCTCATTGCGCTCGTCGCCACTGTCGCTGCCGTCCCGCTTAACATCAACTTGGGAGCCTACTCGCCTGCCCTGGTAGTCGGTGATGGAGAGATCTCACTCGGATCAACAGAATCAGCATCACAGTTGATGGCTACGCTCGCATCGGGAGCAGCAGCCAACGCCGGTGGAGAGGGCGCAGCAGCACAAGGTCAGCAAGAAACACCAGCGCCTGCCGCCGAAGCTCCTGCAGCTGAAGGCGAGGCTGCTCAACCTCAAGAAGAACAACCAGCTGAAGGCGAAGCAGGAAAACGCTCTATCCTTCGCCGCGCCATCAGCGACATCCTCGGCAAGCGCAACCCCGCCCCTGTTGAGCCTAAGATGGCCGCTGTCGAGGAGGCTATGCAGTGGATCAAGCGCGACCTCGCTGGCTTCAATGCTGCGCTCGGTTACGCAAAGGAGGCCCAGAAGGATATGCCCAAGGTTGAGATGGGCACCGAGAACGCCGGTGTTGGTCTGCTCGTCAACCCTGGTGTCAACGTTCCCAAGGACTCGGCCGCCGCTGGCACCCCACCTGCTGAGAAGAAGACCAAGCGCGACGAGGTTGTCGAGGAGGAGGATGCGCCCAAGATGACTCTTGTCGCCATCACCGAAGTTTGAGCAAGATACCCGACTTTGCAGACATTTCAGCTAGCCCAGGACGAGGCCTTTCACGCGCCATGGGGATGAGGCTATAATCAGCAATCTTGTCAGTTCTGTTCAGCACGATTTATTTTTCTTTCAGCGAACATCGGCAGGATCCCGCGTACTGTGCGGACCGGAAGATGAGGAGTTCTTGGGTACACACAACGGTATTGATGTATGGATGGACGAATGAGTCAACCGAAGATGATACAAAAGTCGCAAGATTTCAATAAATTACTATTTGATCAGTAACCGTTTCCTCTCAAATATACATTGCTAACAATTGTTCTTCGATAGCTAACTCTCGACCCGGGTTACAAGTATTCGTTCACCGGTTGACGTGCCGAGCGATCCTTTGCGAAGCAAGGTATCGGCCACTTCCAGCTTCCAATACAACCGCTTCCTGGAACCCATTAACGCCGCATCCGCGGTACCCGTCTTGAACGTTTTAGCCGCGTCGCCACAGACTTCTGACATTTGGCCAAGTAGGAACCCAAGTCACAGTAAAGTCTCAGCAACGCCTTACATATCTTGGCAACGCTTCGGTTCAGGGTCCAGGGTGTGCGGAGCGGAACATGAAACACGACCCTGCATGAGGGTCTGTGCGGTAGGTGGAGAGCGGAGTTGTCCTCCCTAAGTGAACTCGCTATCACAGTACCTTCTGGTCATCGCTGTCGTAGTCATCTCACAATCTTTTGCTGTACAGCCTCTCAGCAAGATGTCGCGATACTAATTAGTCACGATCTGCACCTTGTGTTCCTTGAGATTGTACCTAGTTATTTGGAGATTTTCCATGGCCACGTGCACCAATACGGTTGAGGCCGCACGCAGTGCAGGATCCCACGAGCCGAGGCAACGAGTTGCCACGGACCTTCCAGATGGCTGACCGTACGCCCTGTAATACCTGAGTATGCTCTATAGCACGAACTCTCTGCGCATTACGCAACACATCACCTCTCGATCCAGTCATGCCTAAATGTCGCCTTTGCAACGACTTCCAGCGCAGCGCGCGCCAGTTTCGTCTCGCGTTTGACTGCAGTCAGCAGGCATTAATCCAATCGGCAAACGGTGGATGCGTCATCTGTTCAATTCTGTTGGAAGGATTCCAGCACTTTGAGGCGAAACTTGAAGTTTCTCAAGACAATGATCGCATCTACGTCTGGGGTGGTGATGTCGATGGTGGCGGAGCGGTAGAGATGGAGGTTTTCAGTGACGGTGCTCTCAGAATTCGTCTGAAATTCTTCAACACGAAGGGCAAGACCAGCATTCTACAAGGGGCGCGGATGCTGCCTATTGTCCCCGGAGATACCCGAGCGCCGGCTTCAATCGGATGGGCGAAGCAACGTTTGCAGGAATGTGTTGACTCACACGCTTCTTGCGGTCAAGAAAGCATCCCAGAACTTCCAAATCGGGTACTCGATCTAAGATCGGGCGCGGATGACATGATGAATATCAAATTGATCAGAACGCAAGGTTTGGATGCACGATATGCATGTCTAAGTCACCGCTGGAGTAAACCTGCAGCTTTGACAACAGTAAAGTCCAACTATGTTTCGCACACCAAAGGCATAGGATGGGACGTATTTCCAAAAACGTTTATAGACGCAATCACTATCGCGCAAGATCTGGGTCTCCGGTATCTTTGGATCGACTCTTTGTGCATCATCCAGGACGACGAAGATGACAAGTTGCATGAGATAGCGAAAATGAGTTCAGTCTACACCAACTCATACATCACTATTGCTGCTACTCATTCGGAAAGCAGCATGCACGGTTGCTACTCAACAGGGTCGCTCCATCACCAAGACTACCAAATTTCATCGTCGAAGCAACATAGTGCTGTCGCGATGGAAACAGATCTCTATGTCCGGGAAAAGATAGCGCATATTGGCGAAGAGCGCGCGATGACACCCCTGCTAAAACGTGGATGGGTCTGTCAAGAACGATTGCTCTCGCCCAGGGTTCTCCACTATTGCGAGAAAGAGCTTGTCTGGGAATGTCGAGAGTCAAGTAGCTGTCAATGTTCTTGTTTCAATCCGCCGATACACCACAAGCAAAAGTACATGGAAGTCTTCCGCCGTGGTGTATCCATCGATGACTATAATGCTCGCATCGTTGGTATGTCTAGTTTCAGTTTGTGGAGTACAGCACATCTGGATCCTTGCGATGACAAAGATGGTCGTGGTACCCTCGTTATACCACCAGCATGGTCCCTATGGTTCAAAGGTGTCGTTGACGCTAGTAATCTTGATCCGTATGTAGAACCACGGATGACGCTGAGAGAATGGATGCACCGCCATAATTTCCGCAACACCTCTAATGCAGTTACCTCTGCTCTCCGGTCAAGTTTAGAGTACTACCAAAAGGGCTGGAACTGGACGCGCCTGTTGCAATTTAGACCTAAACGCAAGACTGATGAACCTATCAACGAACCTGGTTCAGGTCTTCCCCGACTTCGTTTTGACTCCAGACTCGAATACGTCTTTCCCCGGAAGCTCAACGATGAAGTCATCAGGAGATGGAGATACATTATCAGCGACTATACCGGCATGGATCTGACGGAACGACGAGATCGTCTACCAGCTATAGCCGGCGTAGCGAGCCAATTCGAAAGTCTCCTAGGTGGTAGATACTTATCAGGGCTTTGGGAGAGCGCCTTGCCTGGCGATTTGCTATGGCGTGTAGATCAATCCGGGCAGCATACGCCACAGTACAGAGCCCCCAGTTGGTCTTGGGCATCAATTGAAGGAAAGATCAAATACTACAAGATGACGTCGTATCATCCAGAATTTTCAATCGTCCGCGCGCTTTGCGATCCGCTTTCGAAGATCAATCCATTCGGCGAGGTGGCGAGCGGCTTACTGGAAATCAACGTCATAGCTGCGAATCTCACATTCTGGTTAGATCTATCCAAAGACGAGGCCAGTCCTCGCCGACCCATAAAAGTTGAGTTCATGGGAGATACCGCGATCTTCATCCCGGACTGCGACCTTACCGTGCGAGCTACGCCATTACATATCCGTGGACATGGTACACAATTTAGGCAATATGAGTTCCTTTGTATCGGAGATTTCAATATCGAGTGTAATGATGCAACCATAAGCGAGACCCGTAGTGGCCCAGAAGCATCACTTGCTGCGTCACTCGTTATCCACAAAGTCAATGAGGACAGGTATGAGCGAGTTGGTATCTTGGAGCGCCATCGTGTACATTACCCGAAATCTCTGGAGGATGTGTCAAGATTCAGGAACTATGAGGGTTATCTGAGAGGGTTATACCAAGAGCTGCACAAATCTGGAAAGAAGAATAGCCAAACGATGCAAGCATGGAAATTTATACCAGGCCTCGTGCTGATTTGAGTTTCGGAGGTTTTCTTGAAGGCAGTGAGAACATATTTAAGAGGAAGAAAATTAGGGAATCTTATGCGCCAGCTACAGCTATCAGAGTTCATGGTGTTGACCCAGATGACCCTCGCACTGAAGGTTGACTTGAAGCTTCACTAGCACTGGTGAGTAAAACCATGGAGGTTCAGGTTAGATTAAGCAGTATTGGGAAAGACCATGGAGCTAGGTAGTACTACAAACATGTTCCTAGCTCGAAGCAACCAAACATGAGAAAGCTTAAAGAAAATGCTTTCATCAGCATTAACGCTATCTGACTAATCAATCGATCGATAGAAGCAAAATCTTGCCATCAACTCCAGTGGGAGTAATCTCCGTCATCCCGCTGATTGACCTTACCATACGTATAACTGCGAGTACCCCGATACTCAGGCGGACAGTTCAACGACTTCCGATTCCTTGTTTCAGCGCCAGGGTCGCATCCGATGGGGTTCCAATCGGGTTCACAGTCGTCAACCTCAATCCACGCATGGCGTGGTTCATTAAGCTCTGTACGAGTGTTGAAGCAGTGATTCCAGAGGCAGGAAGTGTACGGAGCAATCTTGTCTGCGTTCCAGTTGTGGAGCTTGGCGATCTCTTTCTTAAACGCATCCTGTCTCTTGCCACCCAAGAGATAGTAGTCATTGAGAAAGGGTCTGCTCACCCAATCCCTGATGGTGTTCGACTGCGTGATCTCGTCGCATTTGTATTTGCCCTGGTCTGTTGGGCGATCCCACTCGAGCGTTAGCTTCAGTAGTGACTGCATCGGGCCTCCGTTGATGGGGTAAGCGATCATAACTTGGCTTGCGACGTTGCAGAACCAGAGACCTCTGCCACCACCTTGACCTTCGTCGAAATCAGCTTTATAACAATTACGCGGAGTCTCGGTCATCTTCTGGAATGCCCTGGCCATCATGCGAAACTATTCGTATGTTAGCCTTTGGTCTCAGACCATCAGGACATGCTTGTACTTACTGTAAGATCCTCTAGACCTCCTGGCTGCGTGCCTCCTATCCGCGTGTTGATAGTCGAAACTAGAATATTCATATAGAGTTTCGAGTCTGTGGCATACTTCCCATCTTTGCTGTAAACGACATTATGGATGGCGCAATCATCCAAACTACTACCATGTTTGCAGCGTTTCAGAACCTCGTAGATGCGATTGTACAATCGTTCTCCGCCGAAGGTTCCAACGTGGGTGCCCATGAGGCCCATGCGGATGTCGATCCGATACCAGCCTTTCAGGTGCTTCATACCGTTCTGACTGGTAAGAGTCTCGACATCGTTACCAGTCGAAGCGCTGATGTCCGAGTAAGAGATGTTTGGCCATGTCGTATTCGACCCAGGGATAGTATGCAACTCCGCAATCAGGTCATCGTCTGTCGGGTCCTTGTTGGGGTATCCACTGTCGCTGGCCTGGGAGGGAGCGCTGTCGACTCTCGATGCGTCGTAAGCGTCTATTGTCGGGGTAGAAGATGTCACTTGCCGTTGTTAGTAACGCGATCGCGAGCTTGTTGTGTGAACTCACCAAGGCTGGAAGTTGTCTGGGCGTCTGGTGACGAGGATGCAAGAGCGAAGGCCGCCAACAAGGCCGAGAGGAGAAAGAAGGCACCCTTCATTTTTGCGATTGCAGCGTGTACCGTTGATTAGCAACGATGGCAGGTGGATTGCTGTCAGGGTTGAAAAGGTAAGTGCGAGCGGTGTGAGAGGTGCTTTGAAGAAGGTGGGGAGCATGAAAATATATACTACCAAGGTATCAGTCGAGGGTGAGTGTGAGTCCGAGCGCCATTGACAATTCCAGGCAGTAATTGGTGGTGCAGTCAGTGAGCACGTAAAAAGGGAAGGTGCGGGGCGTGGTAGTGGGAGACAGTAGGCGCGACTTAAGTGAAGGAGATACAGCGAGCGCACAACACGTCAGACTTGCTACAAGATTCTGCACGAGTTACATGTTGCCGTATGTGTCGTCTGGTGGTATAAGAAGGAAATCCTCATGCGCTGTTCGAGATAGGTATAGGGATTCATGTGCGTCTCTAGGCTACGCTCTCTCAGACGAGATTAGTAGGCCTAAGCCCAGAAGCTGTCAATACTCGGCAGAAAAACCTGAGCCCATATATGAACCTATTGCTATCATCGCAATCTGTGCATGTCAGACTGCTTGCTAATTGTTACCTAGCGATTTAGTCGTTGACCACCTCACAGATTGTCCAGAACTCTTTCTTCGACTATGCGCAACCGATCAAACATTAGGTGTACGGAACGGAACCAATATTGTTCCTGAATAGCGGCGTGACATCAAATGAGGTACGCAGGCAACCGAGCGATCTCGAGAGTTGTAAAGGTTGTCAAAGACGCGACGCGAAAGAAGGCTGGTGAGCCCAGCTTATGTCATCACTCGTCAGGCCTCGGCATGACCTCCGACGCCTATCTTCTCCTCTTCTACGACGCTCACCAATCGCGTTCGGTAACACGCGCAGCATACATGTCTAGCATGCTACCTAGCACTATATCCGGCGGGGAAACCGCTGTCCTTGTTTCACTACCATCGACACTACCATCGCCTGCTAATCCACAGCACTTACCATGTCTCCAGCTCGTCTATCAACTCAATCGCTCTTACGCGTCTCAGGGCCATTCGCACCCCGCCCTCGATGGTTCCAGTCACCGTTGAGTCGTGCGCTCGCGACCTCGTCTAGGTATCAGCAAGCTTCTGTCGCAACAGGCATACGTGTAGATCACGCCGAAAGTAATGACAACCGTACCGTAGCAGCAATGGGCCGCACCAAGTCAGGTAAAGCCCTCAAAGTTCGCAAATACCCCACCTTTACACGCCTCGAGGACGAACGTCTCTACCGAAAACAGCATCTCGCAGCCGCCTACCGCATCTTCGCCTCACGTGGCTTCGACGAAGGGGTCGCCGGTCATATTAGTGTGCGCGACCCTATCCTGACGGACCATTTCTGGCTCAACCCGCTGTCTGCGCATTTCTCTCTGATACGCGTGTCAGATCTTATACTGGTGAATGAGGAAGGAGAGGTGGTGGAAGGTGATCAGCCGATCAATGCGGCGGCTTTTGCCATTCACAGCGCTATACACAAACGGCGGCCAGATGTAGATGCTGCGTGCCATGCGCATAGTGTGCATGGCAAGGCTTTCAGCGCATTTGGCAGGGAATTGGATATGATAACACAGGACAGTATACGCTTCTACAAAAGCCATGGCGTGTACAACCAATTCGGTGGCGTCGTGCTGGCTAGCGAAGAAGGCGAGAGGATAGCCGATGCGCTGGGTACGATACTTCTTCATTCCCTCGAGGACCATACCGTTCAATTACTAACTACTTCGAAAGGCGACGGCAAAGCAGCCATCCTCCAAAATCACGGGATTCTCACCGTAGGCAAAACCGTCGATGAAGCAGCTTTTTGGTTCCTCTCCCTCGATAAGACGTGCCAAGCACAACTCCTAGTCGATGCAGCCTCGGCTGGAAGTGGACACAAGCCCAAGATCATTCCGGACAGTGAGGCAGCCGAAACATACAAGAATGTTGGAACACCGGAGAAGGGGTGGCTGGCATTTCAGAGCTACTATGACGAGGTTCTTGCTAAGACTGGGGGCGACTTTTTACAGTGAAACGAACAATGTCTTTTGTCCACATAAGGTTGGCGTTGAGCGTGGTTCGACCGTTGTCATCATGGAACTTCTCCCAGGACTTGATTTTGTCTCTCTCGCGACTACTTGCTTCCGAGCCATCTTTTCCCAAGAGACTAGCCTCTATGATTTTGAGACATCAACCAAATCGGGCTCTGAGTCCAATGAGGCCGTCTGATCCACCGAGACCTGCAGGGTTGTATTTTTTGTTCAAGCTGCGCTTCAGCAACTTTGCTCGGGAGATGAAACTCCTCTCATGACTGCGATACATCTCACGAGCTACAAGGTGTTGTCCGCCAGGTCTGTGAGTACACTGGTCCGTACTGCGGTTGATTTGGGTAGACCACAACAACTTCTTTGCGAAATGAGCTCTACAGCTTCCAGAACACTCGCCGAAGTTTGCATTGATGTTGCTGCATTATAGAGCGTCGCACTGGACAATACAAGATCAAGAAATCGAGCCTCGTAGGATCGCGATACAAGGGAGCTCCAGAGTAACCACACGATCAGCCTGATGGCCATAGCCTGAGGGTGATCAGACGCTACCACTGCATTGCAACGAGAAGTTACTAAATTGTTATAATTATCGGTGATGAAATTGGTGTAACAGTTGCTTTGCCAGACATGGAGCACACCGACCGAACCAAACCTTGGACGTCGGATACTGAACCACAACCACTCAGCGATTACACCAATAAGGCCTCGTTCTGCTTGGCACGGATGGTTTCTCGATGGGATTCGTAGTTCTGGTCTCACAAGCACTGATCAATGGGTTGAGGGTGTTTTGCCACCCGCACCGGAACCCAGCGGAATGCTAGGATGCATCTCACTAAGCTTTTCTGGAACAACCAAATGCTTCCACAGGTAAGCTTTTCCAGCAGCCATGCTTGTCAGCAAACCGACAATGACGTCGAATATCGCGATGACCGGACATACCTCGGATGATCAGGTTGCGCAATCGCCATGAGGTGCTTCGGGCAGAGCCTCCATGTTGAGACTACAAGGCCGAAATCCAGGGACACGGGACTCAAAAATACCAATTGACCAGTAGGGAGAAGCTTGGCGGCAGTCACGATCACACCCATCCGAAGCGTCCCTGTCCTTTGAGCGTGGTTTGTCGAATCATCATCAGTCGCGTGATATCCAGGTAAACCGAGCCACGAGGATTACTATCATCCGCAACCTTCCGCCCCACAGTTCTCCCCAGCATCTTCCAGTCCCTCGTAAGCTTCTGCTCGATCTCGTGCCCATGGGGTACAACGGGATGCAGTCAGCCTGGAACCTTATGATTCCGTTGCCGAAGATTCGTCGAGTTTATAAGGTGAGGCAGTCAT